TTAGCAAAGCCTTGGAAACAGTTGCCTTTTCGTGCAAGCGTTGCATGGTCAGCGCAACGTGATAAATGCTATGGTCCTTAGAATTACTTATGTATGCCTTTTCTAGTAAGAGACACAGATACAGAATATTGACGTGTTGTTATGGTGCCTCAGATATGCGTAATAATTGCTTTTTAATTGACAATCGCACAAATATGAACACTGAATCTTGAGCAATATTGGTGGGCGCTGTGGATGGGGTTGGCCGTTTAGAGTATCATTTGGCCACGTTAATGCCGTTTAAAATACCGTTAAGGGCGGACAAACAGACAAATGTACAGACAGACAGACCAAAATTTTTGCGTCAAAAGTCCCCACGAAAGACTATTTTCTTTAAAAAGTACTTCTCGCAGCATGTGGTTAGTGAGGACAATACGCCACATTCCTTCCTCAGTATTGTTATTGCCCCATTAGACTAAGTGCTGCCTTGCGCATTCCGCAATGATTGACCAAAAATCATCGAGATAATATTGGAACTTTTCATATTAAAGTTGGCTCTAGAACTTACGTGGCTGCTATAGTAACGCTGGAATATTTCACGGCACATGTATGAATGTCGATGCGCTTCGTTGCTTGTCAGTTGATCGATGACCAACGTACTGTGCGCCGATAACAGTGTACAGCGTGCATTGCTTGTAACCTGACTTTCAGTTTCACGACCACAAGTTCGGCAAAATAACGTGTTTCACCTAGAAGTCCACTGCTGTCTTCAGACGTGTCACGACCACGCGACTATATATATATATATATATATATATATATATATATATATATATATATATATATATATATATATTATATATCTTGTGAGTAAACGTAGGAGCTAATCCTTATTAGTAGGAATTAATACCAAGACCTTATAGAATAAATGTGTAAGTTTCACGTCATACCACGTTTTGTCTCTGAGTAAATGCACATTTAATTTTAAATCTAAAGTTTGGTACTTCACCAGAAAAATAAAAGTCATAGGGTAAAGTTAGAAATAAGACCACAAGCTTTCTTATTAAGATCACAAAATAACCACGTGTCTGTTAAAAAGGTGGACATTGGGCATGCTGCTGGACAATCAAGGCCGCGAAGATGAGCGCGAAAGAAGCATTTGCTTTTCGAATGGAATGCAAACAGTTCTTTATAGGTACAACAAAAGAAATTCTTGAGAAGAGCCCACTGGCAAATCAGCTGGTTAGGAGCCTGTCTTCGCTCAAACCCCGTCAAATGGCCTCAAAGCCTGATGAGTGTCTTACAAGCTTTAGGAAAGTCCTAGACGCACTCATAGCAGTTGGTCGTCGGTTAGATGAGCATGAGCATGATGCGGTGCTTGGTGAATATGCTAAACTTCTGCAGGAGAAAAAGCCAAACCTGCGGCAGTTTGACAAGCACTCTACTAGTCTGGATGAATTTTATCTTGAGCTGCTAAAGACTGATAATAGTTCATCGTATATGCACCTGTGGAAGGTTATACGACTTCTTGTAGTCTGTTAAAAGAGGTTTTAGTGTCAACCAACTGGTATTTGTTGAAAACCTGAAGGAGATCTCACATGTGTCACAGCGAATCATCTGTGATGCAGTAACCAAGGCTGGGGGTGTCATGAACATTGCAATAACAAAGGAATAGCGTAAATCTGTCTCAGCTGCACACAGCCGCTATCGGGCCTACTTGGAGGAGATGAAAAAACAAGTGAACAAGCAGGCAAAGGTATCAAGGAGAAGCCACATTTAGGAAGAAATTCACAGTATCAAAGTGATGAGGTGCAAGCTTGAAGGAACAATCGCTGACTTGACAGCTTGCGCTGACAGCTACGCTGAACGAGCACAAGTGACATCTCTTTTATCGTAAAATCCAACAGTCTGAGAAAAACAGCAAAATAAAAGACTTAACAACTTGCAGAAGTGGATGAGAAGTTGAAAGGAAGGCTTCATGAACTTAATCTCTATTCCACTGCCAAAAAAGGGCCTTTTGATTATGTTTGTGTCTGTCTATGTGCAATAAGTCTTAAATTGGTGGTGCAATATGTGTTATTTTATCAAGCAAACCATAAAAATGGTTCTTGAAGCCTGTGATAAGCAGAAAAGATCTAGCTGACAAGTAATGTTAAATTTTTGTTACAGTCGACTCTCGTTAATACGAAGTTCACGGGGACCGCGAAAAGCTTCGAATTAAGTGGAATTCCAATTAACCACAATGAACGAAAAATACATTTATTTTAAAGCAGTTTATGAGAAAAAATCTGTGATTGCCATTTGCTTCCGTTTGCTGAATCTTGCAGCAAAAAGCAAGTCCTGCAGGCTGTATATGTGCCCGAGTGCTTCCTCGGCGTTGCTCTCAGCAGTGAAAAACCGCTGCGCGAGGGCAAGGCCTGCGGCTACATCAGCAGCCCGCGGTAGTGGCTACTTGCGGCGTCGTCGTCGTCAACCTCAGTTTCGTGACTAGGCTCGCTGGGCCGAACCATCTCCACGATCTCAGTGTCCGACAGTGCACCGCACGTTTCTACCAAACTGTCAGTGGCAATCTACTCCTCGAAAGGGGTGTCGCCGAGAGCTGGCAGGAGACCATCAACGTCAAGCTCACTTGTGTCTTCTTCCCCCACTGTACAAGACGCGTCATCATCTGCACCACTTGGAATGAAGCCGCACGCCCTAAAGGAGTTCGCAATGGTTTCATCCTTTACGCGACCCCACGTTCCCGCCGGCATATGAATAGCACTGAGAAGGCTCACCTCATACTGACTTGCATTGTCCATACACAACAGCATCCGCTCAAGAAGATGCTTCCTGTACAGTACTTTCACGTTTTTGATGATCCCCTGGTCGAGTGGTTGTAACACCGATGTAGTGTTCGCTGGCAGGTCGGTGACACGTATTGCACTCAAGGGCGGCACATTCATGTGTGCACTGCATTGGTCCACAAGAAGCAATACATTGCGTTCAGATAACGCAAACTTGCGATCCAATTTTGTCAGCCAATCCTTGAATAGGTCTGCGGTCATCCACGCTTTCCTGTTAGTCGCATAGTCCGCAGGCAGCGACGCCCTTGAAACATCTAGGCTTAGCAGCTTTGCCTCTCACGAGCAGGCGACATTGCTCAGTGCCCGTCATGTTCGCCGCTATCAGCACGGACACTCTTCTTTTGCTATGCTTCCCTCCAGCACAGTCATCGTCCTTAAAGGTCAGCGTCTTCTCGGGCAACATTCTGTAAAAAAGTGCTGTCTCGTCGGCATTGAAGATATCCTCCGGCCTATATACTTCCAAGTATTTGCAAAGCTGATTTTTCCTCCACGTATTACATGTTTCAGCATTGACGGCAGCCTTTTCCCCGTTAACGCTTTTAAACACCATATCGTGGCGCTGCTTGAACCGTGTGAGCCACTCATCGGACGAAGCAAAGTTCTTGATGCCTAGCATAATCGCAAGCAATGATGCTTTCGCTGCAACGATATCGCCGCTGAGAGGAAGTCTGTTGCTTCGAGCCTCCCGAATCCAGATGAGCAGCGCTTGCTCTAACTCCGGGTGGGCACCGGTGCGCATTCTCTTGCGAGTCATCTTGAAGTGGTTATTTTCGAATGCGTCCAGTACCGAGCGCTTGTTCTTCAGGATGTTAGACAGGGTATTTGGCTTGATGCCATATTTCTGCGCAATATCTTGCTTGGCGGTGCCTCCTTGTTCAACTTCTTTCAAAATTTTGACTTTCGTCGCCAAGTCAAGCGTCTGATAAGGCCCACGAGTTGCCATAGTAAATGCACGTGGAACTTCGTCGCACGTGGAAACGCCGAGTCCGCACACGACCGTAACGAGATCAACAATGAGGCCCGGAACCGGAACCGCCGGAGCAGCCGCTTCGTGATCTGGGGCGCGGCATGCAACTGCGATGCCATCAGCTGACGCTTTGAGCTGCGGCGCTGTGGTCAACTGCGATGCCCTTGGGTGCCGGTCGGACACGCATTGTTGTTTAGCACTTTGAAAATAGGAAATTTAACAAACATTACGATTTCCTCCGGGAATTCGATTGAAAATAAGTTCGAATTAACCGAAATTTCAGACCTCTAGCTTCCAATTACCGAGAATTTCTTCCTGTTGAACTGCATGCAAAACTGACGAGACCCCCACTCCACTTCCAATTAACCGATAATCCCAATTAAGCGACTTCGAATTATCGGAAGTCGACTGTAACTAGAAAATGATTGTTCACATGTACTTGGTTTTGCGTCTGTGAAATAAAGTACAAATATAAATACAAGTACATCACTTGTTACACATGCGCAAAGTTACGGAGAGCCAGTGTGGCGATTTCTTTGCTTTTTTTGTCACTCCTCTACTGGCTACATTGCAAATGATCAGACGGAAAATGTGTCTGCACGCCTATTGCTGCAGCTGCTGAAAGCCCCACAGAAGATATGTCCCCAGATGGATGACGACAAAAACAAAATCGCAGCCATCGGCGAGATTCGTGAAATGGATCAAACTTCTCTTATTAATTTTTACACTGCGCCCAGCTCTCTTCATCGCCACACTAGATAGGGAATAATTGGTGATTAAGGAAATAAGCACACGCAGTGCTCAACATAGTAGATAAAACAGCAGCGCTGACAACGTCGCAGAAGCTGGCCAGTGATGTCATTGGCTCTTGTACTCATATGATAGTATTTTCAATTGTTGGCAAGTAGGCATACTACGTCATGGGGACCTGAGTGCTCTTCAAAATAGAAACTGCCTCCGGTTGTATGATGGATCATTCGTTTCGCACTGGGGAAAATGAGTTTTGTTGCCGCTACTTATGAGTCTGTAGCTTTTCACTGTGAGCAAAAATGAGAGGTTCACAAATTTTTGTGTCGCCATTCCTTTGAGCCACTGATTTGAGTGTAATTTGACCAGAAAAGTATTCAGCTTCCGCTCCTTTGTCAGACAGGAAGCCAGTACGCTGATCCTCCTCTGCTGTTTTTTTTTTGTTGTTGTTGTTGTTGCAGAGTATGCTGAGAGGACCAGCTATGTGCTGAGCCATATCGGGGACCAACGAAACCGGATTCGTTATCTCAAAAAGCTGGTTTCTCTTGTCACCATTTCCAACCTCACGCAGGTATACGATTTTTTCATATCTCTCGAGATGCACTTGAGCTTTGTTATAGCAAAGCATAATCTAAGATAGTTCATCAAGTTTCCTTTGATGACTCCAGGAAGATGCTTAACAAAGTAAACTTTCCGTGAATGGACATAACAAACGAAAATGCAGAAAGCACTCAATAAATATAAATGGAATGGAACTCTGCTTAACTGGAACAACTGCCGGGAAAATAATTGGTTTCGTACCTGCATTCTGCTACCCTGTTCATCTCTCAAGGTCTCTTCGATTCACCTGCACCAATAGGAACCGTTTCACGGCTGTGTACGCAAAGTTCAGGAATTGTGCAGCGCGAGTTTAGTGGTGCAGCCACAGTGCAACAGCTGAAACAAATGACGATATGCCAACAAGGTGCGGGCCTTATTTCTGTTCGCTTAATTTACACCATTCTACAATGCTGACCGATGGCAAACCGCACAGGCATACAGTTTATGAGGCACAAACATCTTGGCAAAACACATCACGTCAGTAGAGGCGGGCAGGACGCCTAAGCCAAAGCACTGCGTCATCTGCTCAGCTGCACGCACGGCTGCACCAAGCTGGCATTGTCAGCATAGAAGTTGCAGAAAATCGTGAATCAGTTCTGCATCTTTCGAAACGAATGGCTGGGTTCAGGGGTCGTGAATGCTGCAACGCTGAAACAAATGGCAAGGTGCAGTACGTGAATTGGTTTGTGTGGTGTAGGCTAATCGAACGAACTTTCAGTAAATGGGACTCTAAACTAAACACATTTTCCTGGTCTCATCAGGTTTTCTTTAACGAGTCTATTCTAGTCTCCAAAACAACAATGAAAAAACCTACACATTCACAGTGGCTATGTATTGCTCTCTGCAATGTTTTGTAGCTGTTCAACAGGGATGTTCAAAACTACTGCATCCCAACAATACTGCCTCTGTTGTTTGTAGCCACGTACAAGTACACTATTTACTCACAGTACTGTCTTCTTTCAAACTAGAAAAAGTGCTTGTACATTGTTCATAAATTTAATTCCTGGCTGTAAGCAAGGGGCAATTCTGTAGTTATTTGTTGATAAAATTGGAGGCTTTATAATGCCAATGTTGTGGAAATCAACTACCATAAGATCCTACAATAATGAGGCAAGATTTTGTTTCATTGCAGTTGTGCTGTATCTTTGTGTATTCGGTTTGTCTCTCTTCTTTTTGAATTCTATGTAAATATTTTTGTTTATTTCTGAATTATTTGTTACAAGCAATTAAAATTGTTAATCACAAAGACATTCTGAAGAATTCTTCCTCGAATAGATAATGGCTACTTTATTTGGGTAGTGTGACTGCTGTGAAATGTAGTACAAGCAGTTTTATGTATATCACACCACACCTATTTAAAGGTGTTACTAATAAATAATGCTCCAAAGCACCCTTGAAGATCCCCCATGCCTTTGAGAAGAGTAATACCGTTTCTCTTTCAAGTGTCCAGTACCTCGGTGGCCTGGCTTGTTGCCCACCCATAGATCTCATGGCATGATTAGGCTCAATATTTAGTGGTCAATACAGGCCTCAAACTAGGCTAATATTGCTAAAAACCAGGTAAAATAAACAATCATGGCCTAAAATAGTATAATTAACAGAGATTACCAAGAAGTAATTGCAGTAATTAACTTAAAATGGCTAAAAAACTTGGAAACTTGCGGTTGACTCGTACCACCCAAGAGAATGTGCCACCGCTTTGACAAGTCTACGATGCTACTCTCATTGGCACTGCTCCAATAGTACCTTTGAAGGGGAAAAACCCTGACATAACTTGCTGCAGATGACATGTATCTCAACTACAGTAAAAAATAAGTTGATAAAGCACAACTAAAAATAAGTAAGTGCATGCCTGCCAAGTCTCTCGGATTTTCCGGGAGACTCCCAGATTTCAACCAGTTTTTACGCTTGTACGGTTGCCAGGAAATTCTCCTAAAATCGCGATTTCTGTGCATGATCTGGCGGCATTGACAAAAATGCAGCCCAATTCGATCCAGGCTTTTTCTGAACAAATTTAGGAGAATTCATTTAAATGTACTTGAATCCTAATGATGCGAAACGGCCAGATATGAATGCGTGAAATTTCCCAGTGAAATTCCGCTATCTCCATTGGGCCGAAATTCGGATGTTCCGAACACTTTTCCTCATTGCGGAGTCATATGAACTTTGATACCAAAACCGTTGAATGAAAGCCAAGAGCAGCGTGCTAGAAACTTTAGAAGTTGTGCGCGGCCAGCGTATGCTCCGTCTTCCACAATGCGTGTGGTTGTCATTTGCCACAACCTCTGTGTATGAAACCGCGTTCACTTTTGACACAATTGTGTATGGTGACTACATAACTGACAGAACTCCGAAAGTGCACACGCGTCCAACGTTCCACCAGTCAAAGTGACGTTGCTTTCCACAAATGCTATGAACTAAACCATGGCAGATGCGATCATGGATAGCGACAAACAACTTGATTTAAAGGCCACATGCACCGCCAGCGCACGCAGATTGAAAACGGAACTACAGTTTTCTGCAGCCGCCGCTCGCGAAACCGCAGTCACAGCGATAGGAGGCGATGCGATCATCAATAGCGACTACTAGCTGAAGGCACGTGGCTAACGCAGCGATAGATCAAAGGAAATAAAGATGTAAGAAAGGCTAGAAGCGTTTTGGTGTTCCTGTCCAAAGAATCTAGTAATTTTGTATTTGTCGATCTGTGTACTATGGCATTCAGTTTTCAGTTAGAAACTTCGACTTGCATTTTTCCCAGCCAGCTTCACCATCCCTTCCATTCACGTGTAACCCAGGAAGATATGTGCGAGTTCTTTTGACAGAAATAGATCTTGCTACTTGTTTCAATAATGTGAAATTTTGGGAAATATGAATATTTTTGCACCCCTTTGAGATTCGCACCTTGTACTGTAGTTTGGAAACCCTGCCGCCATGTGTTCACCCACTAAGACTGCATTCTTTTGGAGCAGAAGAGGGGAGGGGAGAATAAATTGGGGCGACCCTCCTGCCTGTTGCGGAAATTTAGCTGGTTGCTAAATTTAGGGAGGGAATTTTAGCATAGGGATTGAATTGCATGCCAAATACTCGTGTATTATCAGTGTAAAGTACCTGTATTTACTCGTGTAATCCTCGCACTCGCATAATTCTTGCACGCCCCACATCGCCCAACAAAAATACCATGTCTTTTTTTCCTCGAGTAATTATCGCACCCCCGAATAATGTCGTCTACTCGTTCCAGCCACTGATGATGATAGCATGCGCCATCTCTTAACCATTAAGCGTACTATTGCATGGAAATTCAATCCAATTCAAGCCTAGCCGAAGTAGCCAGTTTGCGTTGTGGCGTGTTTTGTATGTTGTGTCGGTAATCTTGTCACATTATGAGGCGATACTGAAGCTACACGGCTGCTTTCAAGTTGAAAGTGATAGATCATGCACTAAACAACAGCAACAGGGCCGTCGGAAGGCCCTTCAGTACCTACGAGTTTTGTGTTCGCTACTGGTGACGGCATCTGAAAGCCACCAAGACCCGTTGGGCCTGCCGTTTGCCTAAAAACTGGGATTGATGGTAAACTTCATTTCCTAGGAAGGAAACTGCTTACGATTCTATTAAATAGTTATCAGCCCAATACTGACGTCCTACGCTTACCTTTTGAGGGCTCCTGTTGAGCAACGAACGCTACTGCCACGCCCGCAACGCCCACAAGTTTTGCGTATGGTATTCTAATTCTCGACTATTTGCTTGCAGTTTTTGTGTCTCAAATAAATCTTGCCTTGTGTTGAACCTGTGCTTTTATTGTTTAGGTAAGATTTAATTTGTACTTCTCAAAGCTTGCTGTTAGTTGCTTGTTTGAGAATCCCGGTTTGCGGCCACTTCATTGTCTTTTTCGCTCTGTGTGTTTTCTGGAAAGTTATCCCCGCGTAATTCTCGCACACCCCAACTTTGCATCGGTTTTTTCGCCAAAAAAAAGTGCGAGGATTATGCCAGTAAATAAGGTACAGTTTTGTCTCTAAAACCAATATTCTTGCAGGACTAAAGTACCGAAGTGCGTAGTGTATAACCATTTTTGCATTTCATGTGACGATGCAACAGCATGATGTCAATACTCAAGTGGGCACCAGAATAATGCCGTGCCGTTCTCTGCCTTTCTGCAGGAGAATGTGAGCTGTGTCAACACAGCCTTAGTGCTGCTGATCTTTGCACAACAGCACGGTCAACTGGTGAGTTACCTGCATGCTCTGCGGGGCCCACCTCCACCAGGTGCAGCTAGCAAGGCGGCCTGCAATGCCAATGCACCTACTAGTGTCCCTGCTGGCTCCACAGCAGCCACAGCCACAGCTTCGTCAGGAAGCTTATTGCAAAACCTGCTTGAGCTCCTGCACTTTTGGCAAGAGCACTACCTTCATAAAGACAAAGATTGCTCTGCCCTCGAAAAGGTCAGCACCCGGCCTTCAGTGATGGACACCTTTCTTCTGCTCTAACGTACTAACATTCCGAATATGACTTGTGTTTCCACCTTGTGTTGCTAAATTTCTTTCTATGCTATTCCAGAGCTCACGAATCGCGTTTCACCGGTGGAAGGCCATGGTGAACACACTGGTCTCGGAGGACATTACCAGTCCGGTGTCCCTGGTCTACCATGTTCACCCTGGGCCCAGCACCCGAGACAGTTGATGGACTGAATGCTCTGCATCAGAGCGGTGCAATCCAGCCTCTGAGCATGTGCATGTAATACTGTGAGTTAGGTTCATAGATGAAATGGGCCCTGTGTGCTGCGCAGAGTTTTTTTTTTGAAAGCAGTTATTGCTATCATAATGAAGTTGGCATTGTCCTCTATAGCATGCTCAGTCATTCATTCCAATGATGTTTGCTAAAGAACATAACAAATGGCTAAATAATGCAGCCGGTTTCAGTCACCATTCATTTTGGCCACACGTGATAGCATCCTTGGCTCTTCGGCTGCTTAGTATTGATGTTGAGATTTTCTACAGTCAGTGAATCTCTTTGCTGTCAAGAGCCCTATTTTAACTAAGCAATAGAGGACTCATGGGAACTAGTTTCTTTTGATGGTGAAGTCACTAGATAACAAACTGCCATTCTGTACATGGTGCAGAGCTGAATCCTACATCTTGTGATCATCATTGTTGTCCTCTGTGTGCTAAAAATACCAGTTATGGAGGTAATGATGGATGGCCATGTGTTTTTTGCTGACCAGGTCGACTTGTGATTATTATTGTGCGACTGTCAATATGTTCACAGCTAGGTTTATTGAACTTTCTGAAGAATGTGATCTTACAGCATTAAATTGAATGCATTCTTTTTTTTCTTCTGCTGTTATTCAGCCAGGGACAAGTATACTCTATCATAAGTTCTTCGTGCAGAGACGTGAAGAATGCTCCACAATGTTTTCACTCAGCTTGGATTATGGGAGATGGTTAGTGGTTCTTGAAAGGGTAGGAAGGAGGCAGGTTTAAGACTTTCTGAAGCGTTAGATGCATAAATGATCTCCCACCTTCATCTGAGTGCCATGTTGTTTTGTTTATAAATAGTGAATTTAGTGTGATTGTTGTCTGAATACAGCCACATTATGCGACTTGTATACTGCTTGTATTTTTAATCTACTTAGCATGAACGAGACCAACTCCTCAGAGTGGTTTGTAAATTTAGGTCAGCTATTGGCCCCAAAATTTTTCTCAGCTTGTAACTTGCAGTGCAGGATATGTTTTGATTCCAATTTTGTATTTCAGCTACTAGTGGTGCAGTGTATGTCATTTAGTGGTGCAGGCACAGTGCAACACCTGAAACAAATTACGATGTGCCGACAAGGTGCATGCCTTATTTCTGTTTGCTTAATTTAGACCATTCTACAACGCTGACCGATGGCAAACCGCACATGCGTACAGTTTATTAGGCGCAAACATCGTGGCAAAACACATCACGTCAGTAGGGGCGGGTACGGCGCCTAAGCCAAAGTACTGCATCGTCTGCTCAGCTGCACGCACGGTTGCACCAAGCCGGCACTGTCAGCGTAGAAGGTGCAGGAAAATAGTGAATCAGTTCTGCACCTTTCGAAACGAATGGCAGGGTTCAGAGGTTGTGAATGCTTCACCGCTGAAACGAATGGCAAGGTGCAGTACCTCGTGAACTGGTTTGTGTGGTGCAGGCTAATCGAACGAACTTTCAGTAAATGGGACTCTTGTTAAACTTTGTTTGAGGAAATGTCATTGATTCCATTTAGTTTAGTCCACACAAAGAAAAGTGGCTTTCTTAACATATTTCGATTCTATATGTGCTGAAAAAAAATGTAGAAAGAGGGATATATATATATATATATAGCAGCTGCCTACATGTATTTTCTGCACAATGCTGTTTCAGGCAGAAAACTCGACTTGTTTTTTACTTATATATTGACTTTCTTCTAATCTACAGCAGTACTTCTCAGTGTTATCAAACAGGATTTTAGAATATAGTTTATGCTTTGCTTTTAACATTTATAATGGCAGTCTATAAGGTTGTGATAAAGTTTAGGTGTGGCTTATTTTACTGAACAAGGAATGAAAACTTATACTTCATTTGCTCTGTTTTTTTGTTTTTTTTTTGTCCAACTTAGTGGGATCATTTTTTCTGTCACTCTAAATGCACTAAACTCTCTCGGCAAAAGGGTAATCTGGAAATGTGCCTTTCTATTAGAAGTAAATTCATATTGCTCAGTAAAGGGTGAAAATTCATATATTTTGTATAAATGAATTTGAATGTCCACAGTAAACTTTAGAGATGAGATCAAATATATAACATCACGATCTAAAAATATTATAAGAAAGAGAAGTTGTCTCTATAAACTGTATGCATCAATGCCAGCAATTCCTTATATATGCTGCTTGGGGCAGCATATAATAAAGTGAAGGCGGTAAAAAAAAAATGTCGAGTATACACAGGTCCAGGCTAAAATTTCTCAGTGCCTGCATGTTTGCATTCAATACATATTTGTTAATTAGGCACAATGAGCCCATTCTTAATAGTTTTCTTCACATTTGGTATTTCGCTCTTTTTTTCTTTTGATGTTTTTTAAAGACGTGACTGTCAATCTACTTCTGTAACAGGTAACTTGGAGTGGATACTTTCTTATTAACACACTCTGCATGTGCTCATATGGTATTTTAAAATTTAATTGGAGCTTAAGGTGATACTGTGCAATGCTTCAGAAAGTACAGAGACAAAATATGGCATGAAGATTACGCACGCAGCTCTTTGCTTAGGCCACTTCTATGATAAAGTTAATTTTATTTCATGACTGAATTTACATGTTTGTACATGAGGTCATGAAGAGTCAAAGGCAGTTGTGTTGATGTTGCATTGCTTCTGCTTACAATTACTGTAATTGCAGTACTAGTTGATATAGTTTCTGGTATGGCATCATTTTTTTTCTGAAAAAAGAAATATGTAATAAAGTATAACAGGAAACGGCAAGCAGCAAAACAAAGTTTTTTCTCAAGAGTGGGGAGGGGGTCCTTAATAATTTGATTTTCAGCATTGTTACAGTTTTGAAGGAGCAGTCTCTTCAAGTTATTATTTTATTGCTGCCAAGCGTTTGATATTATGTGTAGCTCTTGTGCTTGTGTAGTATATGCTTTGAATATGAAGTAAAACACATCTGAGAGTGTTGTGCAATGGTAGGAAACATATTTTTCGTAGTCAAATACTGTTTTTATTGCTGTTGCTTGAATTTCTGCACCAATGCATTAAAGATAGAGAGCCAATTGTGACATGCTCTCGTTAGTTGTAATGAACTTTTTTAAAATTATGTGTACATGGTGTATATGAGTTGAACACTGTAACTCCGACATTTTGTGTTAATGTGAAATTTTGTGTGTTTGGAAGTTGTGAAAGTTCACCTAATGATAGTGTGGGACATTGAATATGTGGTACTGCTTGAGGTGGTCAAACAAATGTTGCTTGTTTTGCTTTTGTCATGTTTTTGTATTGTATGCTGTGTGAATGCATGATGATTTTGTAAATACCAACCTATTAAAAGCAAAAAAAGGAAACGTGAAAGTCTGCATAATAGAGCAATGTGTTGAGTGAACACTGCAGTTTTCCCTATTGTCACTACAGTGGAGGTGGCCTGTTTGTTTTAATTTCAATAAACACTTTCTTTTAAACACATAAAAGCATTCTGTGGTTTCTGTGCTTACAGTATTGTTTGCCCTAATTGCTTAATTTGCTATTTTGTTGGAGTTAGCATAGATTTCTTTCCTTCAAGCAATTCTCACAAAATTATAGTTTAATACTTACTTAAATTAACAGCGGACGAAAACTCGGCCACGAACTTCCTGTGCATGGCCGTACCTTTTTCACGCTGTTAACCTTGAGTATGCACTACCAACTAGCTTAGTCAGCTATCCCTCATTGGACACGAGCAACACCAGCGGACATATAGATAAGTAATAAAATTTGGATGCGTTTGACCGTTTGTCAACCCCCGCAACAGCTACACCGATAAGGAAGAATACTTGAAAACAAGTGCTTTCTGTACATTCTGGTACAACTCCATAATTTTCCTCTTGGTGAGATGATATGCAGCTGTAATTGCAGCTAAGTGGTGAGTGGCTACTGGGCTCGCCATCTTGTGCTTAGTCAAGGAATACAACTATAGCACATGCAGTGAGCAGGAGAAAGATGCTGCATTGTGTACTATAATCAAAGAGAATTCTGGAGTCTAGAGCATAAGGCATAAATTGGATTAAAGAGTTCGTGGCAAATAGTGGGGTCTGCATAGTATAAAGCAGATTTGTGGTACAGACAACTAGACGAGGCACGCTACGATTGAGTTATGTCATGCCTTAATTCTCTATGCAGAAAGGCACTGCTTGCAACTTAGTCAATGATAATGCATGACTTTGGTTATTCATGATGATGTGCAATGGTGCCACTAGAAATGGGCCTTGTGGTCCTTCCACGTGAGTACGATATGGTCCCTCTGCTCTGATATAGGGGAAATGCAGGGAAAGAATGTTGCTTGTGGATGGTGACCAAGGGAATAGGGTTGAGTACCTACCTGTTAGGCAATGACTCCTAGTCACATGACCAGAGTGGTGGTCGTGCACTAGTGGTAGGGCATCCGCCTCCAGTGTGTGATGGAATGAGTTTGACAGCCAGTGTTGCTGGGTAGCCACCAGTTTTTCGAAAGGGGAGAAAGGTGTCCATACCTGGTCCTCTGTAATTTGTGTACTCTTCTTGTGATGGTCCTTTCTCTCAGTTCTTTTACTTTCCCTCAAGATGCTGTGCTGTTTTCCCCTTATGGATTGCAGAAATTAGTGTGTTTCCTAGCCTCGAATCACTGTAGCTCTTGCATGATAATGGAACAGTTTCGTTTCTTGTTTCTCCTCTAACTTTTGACAGATTTAAAAAATTTCCCTCCTCCTCTAACCATACTTTGTAAGTGGTGCTGATGTCCCCCACCCCTTTTCCAAGTATATTGCTGAATACATTTTACAAAAAAAAAATTGGTTAAATATCTTTAGTAAAGGCATAGCACCTATGATAAAGAGCAGTGCTCGGATGCTTTGTTTGCAAATTCTTTTAAAAAATGGGCATGTTTTTGTCGAAGCCATTGCTAGTCTGTATCATTGAAGTGCAGCTGCTTGTGCTTTCCCTAGAACTAGCAAGTGCAGCATTTTCAGTACTAGGCTGACTACTAAAACTTTTAAAGATGACCCTTTCTGAAACTGCATTCTTTTTCCCTCTCAGGTGGCCACTATAAAAAGGGTGTATATTGTTACGGAAAAGAAAAGACGCCGTAACGACGAGGCTGGGGATTAGGTATATTCAAAACCAGCGATAATGGCGTAACCGGTTCACCAGGGATCGAGTGGAGACAACTCTTCGTCTTCCTCGTCAGGCGCACACACGCGTCGCCCCCTAGAATATCAATATACATGCATGTAGCATTACCCCCGGCAGCACAAGCGTCGTCTCGGCGCATCTAAATGTCAACGTCACTAGGAGAGTTGTAGGGCATCAAGCGCGCAACATGTACAATATCGGTAGCCTGTTGGGCACATGAAGGCGGCGGAGAGACGACCAATTTCATATGTTACAGGATAACCACACGAAGGACTCGGTATGGGCCTGTGTAGCGAGTAAGCAGTTTTTCTGACAAGCTAACTTGACGGGTCGGAAACCAGAGCAGGACCAAAGAACCGGGCGGAAAGTGTACGTCGTGGTGTCGTTGGTCATACAAGCGCCGCTGCTTCTCTTGAGAGGTCAGAAGGCGAGTACGGGTGATTTCGCATGCATGAGCGGCCCAAGTGATAGTGTCCAGGGCATATTCACTGGTCAGTACTCCAGGGGACGTTATGACGGTGTCTAGAGGCAATGTTCGTTCTCTGCCAAACAGCAGAAAAAAATGGAGAGTAACCGACAGTGTCATGGGGCAAAGAATTGTAGGCAAATGTGACGTACGGCAATGCGAGATCCTAGTCGGTGTGGTTGATAGAAACATACTTAGGGAGCATGTCTGTGAGAGTTCGATTTAGACGCTCCGTGAGTCCATTGGTTTGCGGGTGGTATGACGTAGTCAGTTTGTGTCTCGTTTTACAGGACTGCAAGATGTCAGCTATGACCTTCGACAAAAAAGTGCGGCCACAGTCTGTAAGTAGCTGCCGTGGGGCTCTGTGTTGCAAAATCACGTCCTTGAGGAGGAAGTCGGCGACATCTGTGGCGCAGCTTGTTGGGAGAGCTCGTGTGATGGCATAACGCTTGGCGTAATCCGTGGCCACGGCTATCCACTTGTTACCTGAGGAAGAGAAGGGGAAAGGGCCAGGTAGGTCTAAACCAATGTGGAAGAAGGTTCTGACGGAATATCAAGTGGTTGAAGGCATCCGGCGGGAAGTGTCGATGGTGTTTTGCGGCGCTGACATTTCTTACAAGTGGCAATGTATCTTCTGACTGAGCGTGCAAGCCCTGGCCAAAAGAAGCGTCGGCGTATTCGGTCATAAGTGGGTGACACACCAAGGTGACCAGCAGTCTGAAGGTCATGAAGTTCATGTAGAACTTCCGAGCGAAGGTGTTTCGTAATGACAAGCAGCAGAGCCGGTCCATCCGGCTCAAAATTTTGGCGGTATAATACACTATCGTGGAGCACGAATGAGCGATGAGACTGACTGGAAGATGGTGATTCGAGGCTTCTCAATGATAGCACGCAAGGACGCATCATGGCGCTGCTCGTCACCGATGCATATCATTTGCGAAAGGGAAAAGACGCAAGCCTCGGTGTCAGGCATAGCCCCGCCGCGGTGGTCTAGTGGCTAAGGTACTCGGCTGCTGACCCGCAGGGCGCGGGTTCGAATCCCGGCTGCGGCGGCTGCATTTCCGATGGAGGCGGAAATGTTGTAGGCCCGTGTACTCAGATTTGGGTGCACGTTAAAGAACCCCAGGTGGTCTAAATTTCCGGAGCCCTCCACTACGGCGTCTCTCGTAATCATATAGTGGTTTTGGGACGTTAAACCCCACATATCAATCGGTGTCAGGCATAGTGCTCAACTCAGCGACCGGGTAGTGGGACAGGCAGTCTGCGTCCTGATGTAGGCGTCCAGACTTGTGCGTCACCGTGTAGGCATACTCTTGGATTCGCAGAGCCAAGCGCCCGAGCCAGCCAGTAGGATCCTTCAGTGACGTAAGCCAACATAGCGCATGATGGTCAGTTATCACAGAAAAATTAGTGCCATATAAATATGGGCGGAACTTTGAGACTGCCCAAACAAGAGCAAGACATTCACTCTCCGTAATAGAATAGTTGCGCTCAGCAGCTATGAG